TTAAAATTCAAGAAACTGAAGTTACTTATCATTGTTGGATTTAAGATATTCATAATTTGGAAATTGAGTTATAGTAGCAAAAAATCATTGGTTTGGAGAAAATATAAATTCCAAAGATATCTGCATAAAAAACATAATCTATTTACTTATTGAGCTATCTATTTACAATGTTATGCCAAATACTATTTGTAAGGCTATTGTAGTGATTTTCTATCAATTCAGACTTTTCATATAATTGGAGAAGATAGCCAACAAGAGAGGAACTGAAAGCCTAATGACTATGCTGTTAATATAATTCCAGCATTAACCATTAGAATTTCACAAACCAAGACATTTGAGTCCTCCTGTGCAACAATGATGTAATAGAATTGATTCAAATTTGGAACAAAAATTGAGAAAGCAAAAAAGGATAGGAAGGATGTTCCTTTATTGTTAAAAAAAAAAAAAAAAATTGAAATAGACACACAGAAGCTGCTAAAAATTACCAGTGAGAACGACTACTAAATTCATTTGCGTTGGTGGATCCAACAGATCTTAGTCAGTTCTCTAACTTGAAAAGTTCCCAAACTTCATCCGTACTGTATACACGAGCTTCAACAAGTCTGAGGACTTCCTGAGTACCCTCAAATGATTGGTTTTATCTCCAACCTACATTTCCAGAGTATTGACTATCTTTCAGTTGCCCATATTGCACTTTGCAAGTAATTAAAGTCACAAATTGTATTTATTGTTTCATTTCCTATAAGTCAGTGTTTCATTTTGAATGTACCAATACAAAAATAGGCAGTCTACCCCATCAAGATCTAAAAGAGAGCAATGAAGACCTGTCATAAGCTCTCAACATAAGCACTTCCCACCGTAAAAAATAAACAGGAAGATAGAGAAATGACAAATATAGATAGTGAGAGGTGAAGAATAAAATCCACATTCAACTCTAATGAAAGAATCATTTTGCTGGCTTGGCTGTATAGTTGGGAATGGAAGCTTTGAATAAGTTTATTTTGCGAGTGGGTTTCAAAATAAACTTAATTATGGATGTTTACGAAAAATTCCATGTGAGACTATAATAAGGCATCTTCTAAAGCTACTTTTTGGCCCTAAAATGAAGTATGATATAGTTATTTTTATTAGCATGATGTGATCTATGAATCTCTGTTATATATATTATTCCAACTTGTTACCATTAGACTTAAACCAAGATTCTATTTATTCGCTTTCAATATCTGTTAATTAATGCACATTTCCTGATCAAACATGTTCCTTTAGTCATCTTCCCAGGTTACATGCTATAGTCTTTAATGGCTCCTCCGCATTGTGCGGAGTAACGGAGTGTTACTCCGCATTTGTGCGGAGTGCCACTCCGCAACTCCTCACAGATGCGGAGTGTCTACTCCACATTTGTGCGAAGTTAACTCCGTACACAACACTCCGCATTGTACGGAGAGACTCCGCACAGATGTAAAGTGTCTACTCCGCATTTGTGTGGAGTGAAACTTAGAATAGCCATTATTTATTATTATTTTTTTAAATAATAATATTACAGTGCAAATATAGATAAACACAGAAATAACAGATCTTAATAAAATCATCATCATTGAAAATACAATTTGATCTATATATATACTTCTCGTTGTGTAAATTTATACAAATATTTAATAATTCATAATAGATATTTCTAAACAATATTTCTAAATTTTTCTTCCGCTGCCAAAAGTAATAGAAGGAGAAATAACTTTTGCATAACTACTTACAGTGAGAAGCAATATAAAGGGTAAGATATTCGCAGGTTTTTGTGCTATAAGACCAGCTTTTGAAAATTTCTTATTCCTACAANTGCTATAAGACCAGCTTTTGAAAATTTCTTATTCCTACAAGTTCAAGAGGACGGTAATGGAGTAAAATTGTAGAAGCGAGAGAGGACGATAGCAGAATGGAATAACCAATACACATGGATTTTAAAAATACAAACCGACTATAAAAATATCAATTCTTTCTTCAACCTACTATATAAAAAGAGTATCGAAAATTGAAGTTCCAAAGTCCATAAAGTCTGCTGGAAGGCTAATTGGAATTTTTGGCAGCACATGCAATAGTGATTTGTGAGGAAAAATCAAGAATGAACAGTGAACCTCAAACCCTTTCTTTTAAGAGAGTAGGGATAGGGATATATTATTAACATTTTGCTAGGAAGTACTCAAATTCAATTAGACTCCTTGTTGACCTACAATTTTTAAGGAAAAATATATTTTAAAATCGTAAATTTTTAAAGAATGTATAGTTAAAAAAATAAGATTTTTTTTTTAATTTACTTGTAAAATTATTTTGTGGGGGAGAGCGTGATCAAAAATGAACAAAAGACCCTATTGAATTGTATTGACAACAGTCATTCAGTTCATGATTAAAAGCAAGCCATTAGCAGTAATATTCCATTTCTTGATACCATGATTAGTCAATTCAATACTCCTACATTCCATAAGCAGTACCATTTTAATGCAAAGCTAATAATCTCTTTTGTAAATTGAACGAATAAAAGTACTTGATTATTTACAAAATAAAAGAGAGAAGAGATTCTGCTTCTTGTAGTTTTAAGCAAATCCAAATCAGTCTCCCATCCATCCATGCTAAACCAGTTGTTCCACCACAAGGAAATCACAATCAGCCCAACAGTCAATCAAGATGCTTCAGTTTCATCAGATTTGGCTCGTTTTGCTGGTCTATTCAGTTTATTATCCTCACAAAGTTTCCTTTCGGGTGACTTTTGCATGTCATTTGGATGTTCGGTTGCTGAAATGATGGCATCAGTTGAAACAGCTTTTACTTCAAAGGGTTCAGGTTTCTCTTTATCGAGGGAAGGCTGCTTCTCTGTAAAAAGCAATTTGGAAGATTCATTCGAGTCCCATGATGGGCATTTCAGCTTTCCTTTCTCCATCTTCCTCTGCTGTTCAAACATCATCTGCAGATGTTTTCCTTGTTCTTCAATTCGCAACTGCAGATTTCTTTGAATCTGAAGAAAGACATGATTCAGAATTGGCAAAAAAAAAAAAAAAAACTAAGTAATAATGAAGAGCTGACTTTTTTCTAATGAGGGTACATGAGATATTTGGGCATTTTAAACACACAATTTTAAAGGGGTGTTTTTTCACGTCCACTAGTGAAAAAGTCCCTTTTAAAGAAATGAAGAAGGTAAACAATTAAGCCCATTTTTGTGGGGCCGGATTGGACAACACTAGAAATATTAAAAACGAAAAATAAGCTAATCTTGTCCATTCTACTCATCAATCCTGTTTATATGAACCGTTGAAGTTTCTACCCAGCAATGATGCAATTTGACCATGACAAGCTTGAATGTTTTGGGCAATGTTCCAGTTATTATCTTAAAGAGATGAAAAATACTCATATTTAGACAGGTCTGTATGCAAGCAAAAATGGACAGTGCAGGGAAGATGCATCTCAAACATGTTTTGCAAACTTTACCGAGAACGAAGTGGCAAATGTATTAGTTAATAATATGAGTAGATATTTCTTCTATCTTATTATTCTTCGGTTGGCGGGAATATATATTTTCTTAATACATATTGCTGACTAAATGGTTTCGCACATTTAAACCCGAAAAAAGCAAACAAGCATGGAAAAGCTGATATGTACTTTATTAGTAGTATATTATTATACGAATAATAAATGAATGTCGATTAAAGGTTAATTAGGTAGTTTCCTTGTACATAATAGCTAATTTCCATATATAGTTTGTATCCTAAATTGTTTGTAACACTATATAAAGAAGGTGAATACACACGCAAGATTATTTTGCAAAATCGATTTTGGCTTGGTATCAGAGCCCTAACCTTTTTCTCTCGTGCAGTTGTGGGTGAATTGCTTCTTTTTTTTGGAATCAATTAATTCTTGATTCATCATAGGAAGGATCATGGTGGTCGCCTCTTGAGTGTTCGGTAGTCGATTGACCGGTTGGTTTTCTCTCATTCGGCGTTTTTCAGCGTAGAGTTCCGATGGTCCGCTTCTCAGATTGTTGCAACCTCTACGTGTTCTTCGTTTTTGTGCATCCTCAGAATCTATGTGTTCTTCGATTTTTCCGGCAGGCCTAGTTGTGGATTTTGGTCGGAGCAGATCTTCGTTCTTGTCGTTCATCTTCTTCTAGTGTGCGTGAGTTCTTCCTCGGTGATATTGTTCTTGAGCCATTGTGTTGGACTTTTGGGTTTATTGAATTTTTAGTGGGCTTGGGCTGTTGGTGTTTTAATTGAATTTTGGGGGGCTTGGACCTAAGCTGCTAATTTAAGTGGTTATTTAATTGTGTTGTAATTAATTTATTGGTAGTATTATACTCCAGTTCATCATGTCAAATGAAAAGATTGACTCCGTTTGCATTCGCTTTACCGGGAAGCACTACTTTTCATGGGCATTTCATTTTCAGTTATTAGTTGAAGGCAAATGTGATCTATGGGGACATATTGACAGAATATTCCTCCTCCGGATCCAGAAAAGGAAAAGAAAAAGTACATTGCTTGGAAAACAAAAAATTCTCGGCTTATGGCTTGGATCGTTGGATTTGTTGAAACTCAAATTGCTCTCAATCTCAGACCTTATAAGTCATCCCGTGCTATGTGGGAGTACTTGAAGAAAATTTACAAAGTAACAATGTTCGGCGACTTTTGTTGGAGTTTGACTTGGTAAATTTCGCTCAGGACTCTCGGTCTATTGAAGAATATTATTCTGGTTTTTCTAACATTTCGGTCGAGTACACATATATTATCCATGCTTCGGTCTCGCCTGACAGTTTGGAGACTGTTCAAGCTGTGCATGAAGTCACCAAGAGAGATCAATTTCTTATGAAACTAAGAAGTGATTTTGAACCCATTCATTCCAGCCTTATGAATCGCGAATCACTTCCAACTTTGGATAGCTGTTTGGGTGAGTTACTACGAGAGGAGCAACGACTTATCACTCGTACCTCGTTGGAACAACATTATAATCAAGTAGCAACAATTTGTGTTGCATATGCTGCTCAAGAAAAAGTCAAAACTTGAGATATGTCTGGTGTTCAGTGTTACAGCTGTAAGGGGTTTGGTCATATGGCTCTTCTGTGTCCAAGAAAAATGTGTAATTATTGCAAAAAGTCTAGCCATGTCATCAATGAGTGTCCTATACGTCCTCTACGCAAGACTAGACCAGGTTATGTTGCTGCAGCTATGTTAGCATCAAGTTCTGCTTCGCCGTTGCTCCCACTCAAGTTCCGGCCTCTCACAGTTCTACCCAACACACCATCACTCCCGAAATGATCCAACAAATGGTTATTTCTGCTTTGTCTGCATTAGATGTTTCAGGTAAAACATCAACAGCTCCTTTTTGGTTACTGGACTCAGGTGTTTCTAATCATGACTCATGATACTCAATTACTTAGTAACCTTAGACCATATATTGGACCTCTCCATATAAACACTGCCAATGGCTATACCCTTCCTATTTTGGCCGTAGGTGATGTATCACCAGATTTACGTAATGTTTTACTCTCCCTAAGTTTATCAACTAATCTTATATCCGTTGGCCAACTTGTTGATAACAATTGCAACGTCTTTTTCTTCTTCTGGTTGTCTTGTGTATGATCAGGTGTCCGAGAAGACGATTATGAGGGGGCCTACGAAGGGACGTCTCCCGTTCCTATTGTTCTTAGTGCGTCTAGTTCAAGGTTTCTGGGTGTTGACAATAATTGTGTTAGCTTTGACTTGTTTGCCCAGCTTGTGGTTTGAAGTTTTGGTCACCTGGAATTTGCAGTGTTCAGGGTGTTTGTTTTCGGGATGTGTTCGGGGTTCTTGTTATTGCCCAGTGGTGTGGGACCTCCTTTGGGGACAGGTTCGAGTTCTTTAAGTATTTTGATTTTGTCCTGATTTCTTCTCTGTTATTTACCTGATACTTGGTAATATGGATGAAAAGACGTCTGTTGTTATGTCTGATGTGATTCCTATGATGTCAAAAATCACGAAACATAAACTTAATAGATATAATTATTTAGATTGGAGTAAAACTGTTAGGTTGCATTTGCGGAGTATTGGTATGGATAATCACTTAACTGATGAGCCACCTAGTGATGGCTCGAAAGTCTCATGGTTAAGAGAGGATGCTCGTTTGTTTTTGCGAATACGTAATTCTATTGATAGTGAGGTGGTTGGTTTGATAAATCATTGTGAATTTGTGAAAGAATTGATGAATTACTTGGAGTTTGTGTATTCTGATAAGGGAAATATCAACCACATTTATGAGGTGTGCCAAGCCTTTTATCGTGCGGAAAAAGGTGACAGATCTCTTACGAACTACTTTATGGATTTTAAGAAGACTCATGTGGAGCTTAATATGCTACTTCCAGTCAGTACTGATGTAAAGGTGTAGCAAGCTCAGAACTCAAATTCTATCATTTTTATCATTTTTTCAAATAAAAAAAATTCAAATTCTTTTAACTCTTGAAACACGTGATTATGTCTGTGTTAATGGCATACCTTATTGGCTAACTCTCCATTACAATCTATTTATTTAAACATCTTCTTCCATTACAAACACACGGAAAATTTCTCTTCTCTGCATATAACGAAATTTTATCTCTTGTTTGCATCCGTAATTTTCATTTTCTGTCAAATTGTTGGTGGTGATACTGTTCAGATACTAAGTCAGCTCACCAGAGTAGCATTTGCAGTGCTCAGACTCTACTGATTTTCTATTGTATCTTGAGAAACAGACGCTCAAACTAAAGCTCAAGACCTATGGTGAGGGGGCAAATCTATTTTAAGGAAATTATATTCACATAGACCTCGGTTTCAAAGTTCATTGGATTTTTATTTCCTACAATTTATATTACTTGTTCTGCTTTTTATTGTGATTTTTCAAATTATTTAATCTATATTATTTTTGGCTAACATTTGATTAGTTAGTTGTCCAACTGGTATTTGTTTATACGGTATTTGTTTAGCCGGTATGCGTTTATACAGTAAGTTAGTTGCACTGTCGGTATGTGTTATGTTCATATGGTAAGTTAGTTGCACTGCCGGTATGTGTTCCATTCATACGATAAGTCAGTTGCACAGCCGGTTTGTGTCCATTCGATATTTATGTTCATACGGTAAGTTAGTTGCCCAACCGGTATGCATCCATCCGGTATTTGTCAAGCCGGTATTCACCACTATTTTGTAACAAATTTTGCCTTGCCAATTGTCCGAACCTTTTACATTGGAAGCAAAGGATGCCAAAATATTTTAACAATTGGAAGATTCTCAACTTGGATAGTCGATTCCTAAGAGCCATATTTAACACACGGTTTCATTAATTATTTTATATAAATAGACTGGGTTTTCTTTTTTTATGTGAAAGTGCAAGAGTTGGAAAAGGAAAATTTGTAAGGGAAAACATTTATAAATTTTCATGTCCTCTCTATGGTTTTTACTAAGAGTGAAATATTATGTCTGTGATCAGCTTAGTTTAATATATTTTTTTACAGTATTTAGGGGTTTGAGTAAGCGAGAAATTTTACGATTATGAAGTATTTTTATCTTTAACAACCTGTAGTTTTTCTTCAATATTTTAATTATTTGTCTTGTTAATATTTTTGAACAAAAATACTGTTGAAAAATTTAAGAAGTATCAGTTGAAAAACAATGGAGAATACACCGAGAATTGAAAAATAAACAAACCAAAGTTGCAGCAACTAAACACGAACTCGAAGACAAGAAATCAATCTTGAAATATCTACCAAAAGATTTGATCAAGATACCGTTGTCCTCAAACAATATTTGCCCCCTTTAGAATTGAAAAATGCTTGAAGGGATGATGGAAAATGGTTTGCAGGATTTAAACAAGCCTTGCAAGTATTAATATTCAAACAATTAAGTATAATCCTCCAAAATTTAAGAACACAAACGAAAATATGAATATTGACGATCATGAGGGGGCCTAAGGAGGGACGTCTCCCATTTCACCGAAGCTTATTTCATCTTTTCCTATTGTATG